GCCGCGAGGCACGAAGCGGCGTGTTCTCGGATCCCTTCGAGCTCTCTGCGGTGAGATCTGCCCTGGACGTCCATGAAATCATTGGTCGCTTTTCGCGCTCTCGGGGCTTCCTCCTGGCCTCCCCAGGGCGGCCTCGGGAGCGTGGCTTTCACTCTGGCTCGCCAACATACTCTGTGATGGTGCAAAGGGGCCGTCCTGGAGTCCTCTTTTCGTTTGACCCCCAGCCCCAAGAGCCTTCAACGGTTCCGAGTTCCTCAATAGGCTGAGACTCCGCTACCCCGCATGGGGCAATGAGCGAAAACGAAAGCATCACAGATGAGGCACTACTCAGACGAACAAAAACACTGGCAGGGCCGCCCTGGAGCCCTCTTGGGCGCCCTGAAGGCCCTGCATGCTGGCCCGAGAACCCCCCATCACCCCCGAGACAGCCTCCAGGCCCCGGCGTCGTGCCGCTGGTCAGCTCAGCGGTGTGCTGCCATCTGCTCAGCATCGTACTGCGGTCTGTCGACATCGCGCCAACTGGGTACTAAGCAATAACCCTGTGTTCAAACGAAGCCACCCTGCATCCGTGTGCACATCGCAAACCTTGAATGCGAATGTGCGCGGTGCGAGGGCGAGAGCGGCATGTCGAAAGCAACCTGCCCTCCATCCGTACAACTGCTGCTACATCTCAAGACGAACGAGCGTAGCGGCGTAGTGCGCAAGCGAAAACCACATCTTCAAAAGAATCCACTCAACATCCGTGCAACTGCTGGTAATTTCCAGTTACAGGATCGCACATTTAAACGAAGACTCGGGCGAAATACCTGGCCCGCCCTGCCGACACGCTGTCTGGTGCGCTGGGGAATTCGTGCACAAGGAGGGTGGACCGAGGAAGAGGGGGTCGAAGGGGTAGAACGAGAGAGGAAGGGAGGGGGGGCGCGAGCGGGGCACGCGAGCGAGGACGTGCGGGAAGAAGAAGAAGAAGAAGAAGAAGGTGGAGGACGGTGAGGAGAATAATTACAATAATACTATAGCGATAACGCTGTGAATAAGACTATGTAATAAGGTAATACCATCACAGTAATAAGAATCCGAATACTGAGAAGAAGCGAGGAACAACACAACATGAACAGAAACTTTAGGAGCTCCGCGCGGATGTTTTGGACCTGCGCTGATTTTTTTCCTCTGGCGCGCGGAGCGCGCTCCGCAGGGCGCCGCTGGAGGCGCCGCCGCCAAGGGAGCCCCGGCGCCGAGCCGCGAAGCCCGCGCGGAGCTCCGGAAAGTTTCTGTTCGTGCAGTTTCTGCTTGCCCCGTGGGCGTGAAGAGGAGTGGCGGCGCGCAGAGGGGGGTGGGGGGAGGGAAGGCCTCTTAGAAGGAGCCTGCTTCCTAGAAGGCGCCGGCCTACCATCCACAGACAAGGCCCGCGCCTTCCAAGAAGCAGGGGTGCTGCTAAGAAGCCTTCCCCCCTCCCCCTACCACCCTCAGCGCGTGGCTGAGAGACGGTGGAGAACGAGGAAGAGCAGAACGAGGAGCGCAGTGAGAAGATGGGAGGGACGCGCAAGGAAGAGGAGAATGGAGACTACGAGTGAGGACGACGAGTGAGGACGACGAGTGGGGAGGAGGAGGAGGAGGAGGAGGAGGAGGAGGAGGAGGAGGAGTGGAGTGGAGTGGAGCAATCGGACGTAGTCCGTTCGGAACCCAGAGACGCCAGGGGGGCCATCCAATATTTCTCGGAGGGCCGTGGGGGGCGACATCCCACGGCACACCGCGACAGGCCCCCCTGGCCTCACAATTTACTCGGAAGCAGCACCCGCCGCGTAGGAACCGATCGCGGCTTCGGCTGCCGAAACGTGCATAGCCTCTAGAACAGACTTGCTGGGACCCGATCTGGACGGGTGAAGGCCTCGCCTGATCCTGCTGAGGTTTTCGAGGCCTTTGCCAGTGGGTCCCAGGGCCCTGCGCTCTCCCACTTGGTGGGAGAGAGGGCAAGGAAACTGTAGGCTTTTAACCTGGTGTGTGGCCGTATGGCCGCACTTCACACAGAAGAACATTTGCCACTTGGGGATGGTGGCCAACGTGTGGGAGGGGTGTATCGCCTTGCCACTGATCACACGGGGACCCCGCGACCACAGCACCTCGCCACACGCAGCAAACTCGGGAAGGGGGCAAGGCGGTACACACTCCGTGGCGGCAGCTGGAATAACGTGGCAAGCATCGACGATGATGAGGCAGGCAGAGCATCGCCATTTATCTGCACACCGCTCGAATTTGTGCTGAGAAGCCGCGATCGCGGTCTGCAACATAGAACGAGGGGCTGCCTCCTGGGTGGGTTGCCTCTCTGGCCACAGTCCTCGAGGCTCTGAATTCTTGCCAAAGGAACGTAGGATCAGTCTTGCCCTCTGTCGGACAATGGCTGCTATAGCATCGTATTCATCGGTCCTGGGAACAGGCGGGAGGGCAAGGGTGGCCGACTTGTGGGCCGCGCTTCCCGCGAGCTCGTCGGCTTGCTGGTTGCCGAGAGCAAGAAATTTTTGGAAACCATGCAAAGTCTGGGGATCGGTATGAGACGGGGTCCAGAGCACGGTGACCGAGGAGACGCCGCCAGGTCGATCCTGCACGAGGTGCCGAATTCTCAGCCAGAGATCCCCATTCTTATTCTTGCCACTAAGGCTGCCTGGCCTGAGACATCTGCCATTCTGCCAACCACGCTGCAGGGCTAGGTGATCTGTAACAAACGTGAAATCCTGCTGGCACGTCTCAAGTGCCAGTTCGCCTCTTGGGACGGTCTGGCGGGGGCCTGGGAGGGGGGCAAGGAGGCCCGCGTGGAGGGTCCAGGAGGCCGAGGGAGGGTCCCAACGGAGGGCCGCGAGGCCAGAACCAACGCGACGTCGCCTGACGTCGTCGGAAAAGGCTCCGCCAGACCCGTCACCAAAAAGAAACAACTCGCCCTCAGCGTTACGAGCTCCTTCCCAAGACGGCGATCCCTCCCGCACCGCCCCAGCAAACTCCCACCCGTCCCTCCCGGTCAATGGCTCGAACGTGGGCGTGGTGAGAGCGACAGAGGGAATGCCACGGAGCCACAAGGCGGGGTCGGCATCGACCCCCGCCACGGCACGCGGCAGCAGCTTGTCACTGGCCTCAAACTCGGGTCCCACATTCGCCTCGCACTGCCACATTCGGTGAAACAAGGTTTCAGGAACTCCAGCGCTGCATCGGTCGCAGTTCTTGTCGATCTGGTAGCCCGCGATGTGGAGGCGGTCTCTGGTCCACTGTCCTCCGCTGATGATGGTGTTGTTGAGGGCCCAGTCGCTGAAGTCGCCGTTTGCGAGGAACCTCCTTTGTTCAATGCGGCTAGTGACCATGTCTGCGCCTCCAGCCAGCGTGTCTCCATGAGCATGCGTAGCGGCCTGGGTCCAGAGGAGCCTGTGTAAATCCTCGCTGAGGTCCTGCAATACTGTGTGAATGTCAGCGTCGAGGAGGTCAGGGTCACCGGCAGGGGGGAGGTTCCACTCCTCAATGTAGCCGTCCTTCGTGCGCCTCCACGTGGTAGCTGAGGTCGGCTCCCAAGTGGCCTCCAGCAGGGTCGCGATGGCCGCGCCTGTGGGCCCCTTGACCTCGCGCCACAACTTGGGGCCTGCGGCGAGCAAGGTGGTCTTGATCCTTGGCCAGGCTCTGATGATCCTGGCGTGCGTGCTCGGGTGGCGTATCCAGTGCTGAAGCCAAGCCTCTATGAACTCGATCCTTAGGGAAACTCCTGGGTCCATGCCGTCGAAGGTGGCGCCGAGGAGGGAAGTGAGGCATCGGCCCGCTGCTGCGCCCGTGGCAGCTATGGCGGCCTGACGCCGCCATCGTAGTAGAGTGTGACGAGCGAGGCCGTGCACCTGATGACCGAATACTCCTTCTGGGAGAGCGCCAGTGCGCCGCAGTCCAGCTGAGATTCGGGCCTGCTGTGCTGTGCTCCGTAGTCGGTGTATCTTGCGAAACCTAGCTGTGGCTGAGCTCTGTCGCTTCCTGGCTTCGGCTTGTACACGTCGAGTAGCCGCGGCCGCGTCAACTCCAAGGTCGACGGCCGTGGCGGTCGCAGTAACTGGGATGTCGTACTGTCGCATCTTCTTGGCTAGCGAGTGGCGGACCTTGGGGGTGGAGCCGATGAGGACGGTTTTGTCTGAGATAGGCAGCTCGAACTCCTTTAAACCGTCGCAGAGCGTCTTGGCGGCACGGGGGAGATGCTTCTGTAGAGCACGTAGGACTCCTTCGACTCGAAGAACAGTGTCGTCTACGAAGGTCCACATCTGGGCAAGCTCTGCCTGAGCTTGGGCTTGCCGTAGAATTGGTAGTAAAATGAGTCGTGCCAATGTGGTGCCGTGAGGGGAGCCTGCAATGATGCCTTTGGAGGCGAAGATAGGCATACTCACCCATTGTCGACTGCGCAAGAATCTGGGCGCCAGGTATAGCTGTACTTCCAGTAATAGAATGATGGGGGGAAAGCCGCAGTTGAGGCCGACCATGATGAGGTTGGCGAGCTTAATATTGTCGTAGAACTTCTGGATGTCTAATAGCAAGGTGGCCGACTGTATGCCAAGTGCTGAGGCTGTCTCGTCTAACAATGCCCTATGTAGGGCGGCTTGGAGAGCTGAGGAGCCTTTGATGGCTGTAGTCCAAAAGTCGTCCAGACCTTGCGTCCAGGCTGCCGATGCAGTCGATCTAATGCGAGACCAGAGTCTGGCCATATGAGGTAGCATGCCGAGGACCCTGTCGCCTCCAGACTTCTTGGCGGCGAGCGCTGCAATAGTACCTGCAATTTGTAGTGGCCAGATGCCTGCTTGCTCTACTGAGTTGAGGATATCTGCATAAGCTTCGACTGCTGGTTCTGGTAGTCGATGGAGGTCGCGAGGTCCTAGGGCGTCAACTCCGTGTGCTTTACTGGGTGGCATGCGGCCGTGAAAGCGGTGTACGATCTCGGCTGTGATGGGCTCGAGCGGTTGATGAGCGGCTGCTGCCTTGGCCTTTGACAGGGCCTGTAGGATGTCGTCAGAGGTCTCGGTGGCTTGCCATACTTGTTGCCATTGTTGCTTCTTGTTGTCCATGATAACGGCGGGGTCGGCGATGGTCAGGTTGGCCGTGTAGGCCTCGATGTGACGTACGGGCGCCGGCTTGACATGGGCGTGTAGTACCCCAGGGCGGCGCTTCCATTGCTGGGCGAGCCAACCCCCGTAGGCCCTCTTGGACTTGGCGAGGGCGGCCGAGAGAGCTCTGGAGGCCCAGGTAGCGGTAATGGTGACCAAGTCGTCGGTGTCATCCTTGTCCAAGTGCGGGGCCCAGACTAGTGCAAACCAGCGGAAGATGGTGTCCTCATCCTTCTCGAACTGGAGGTCGTGCATGTGAGTGTTGAAGTGGTCCGCGCGCTGCTGGATGATGGAGGCCTGCTGCTGCATGAGCGCTGTGTGCTTGGGCTTGTCGTGAAGCGCAGCGTAGCGCTTGATGAGGGTGAGCGTGATTGTCCACGATTCCGACTGAGGGTCGTGTACGTGTACGCGGCCTGGGGCGGCGGCTGTCTTCTTCCAAGATAACTGGTAGCCTTGGGCTCGTCCTGTGTATGCTGCGGCTTCCTTCGGGTCGATCTGGTGGTGGCTGATAATGGTGTTCTCGAGCGCCGTGACCCATTTGGCGTACTTGAGGTTGAGGTCGTCGGCGTCGTGTACCCAGTGTCTGTACACGAAGTGCGCGTGAGGCTGCTTACAACGTGTGGGTACCGCTTCCTGCCATTGTTGTTCCCATAAGTCCATCGGGATAGCATAAGGGATAGGTTCCTGTGCTGCGGGCTCGTCATGTGGCTGGAGCTGTGCTGCTGTTTGTTGGAGTTCAGGAGGTAGATGACGTAGACGTGCTGCTCGAGCTTCAGCTGTTTTACGTTTCTTGAGGGCGGTCTTGCTGTTGGGGTCTGGCGGGATCCTGGGTCTGTCCACTATGGGGAATGCCTTGGGAGTATCGATCGACTGATACCACCAGGGGTCTGCGCTGCCTGCTCGAATTTCAAGGCCAACATGGGTGGCCCAGGGTACGGTGGGGCACTGGCGAATGGAGATCGTGTGCTCGATGCCAGTCTTGACCAGTGCGAAATCAAGCGTGAGTCCCTGGCCCTTGTCGCACGTGGCGGATCCAGGTGCTCGCACGATGGTAGCATTCCATTTGGCGAGCCACTCCGTCGCTGCGAGCTGCTCAGGTGTCATATTCCAATCGGCCAGGATGATCCAAGGGTCCGTGAGCATAGTAACGAAGGCTCCCAGCGAAAGTAGCTTATCATGCACCGCACCCTCGATCTGCCTGTGGGGTTCCAGATACGCTGCAATAACAACTAGGTTGCCAGAGCGTCTGTGCCATACCATGGGCGTGAAGCCGAGGAACGGATCGGGCCTGCGCTGGGAGATGGCGAGGTCACGGAGGTGGTTGAACGTGGTGGCCTGGACCTGGTACCTGGAAAGGATGATCTCGCCACCCGTGTTGCCGCCGTCTGATCTGCTGGTAGGCGTGGCCGTAGTCGATGATATCCTCCAACCGTCCGCTGCTAGCTTGTCGTAGATGGGCGGGGCTTTTCTAGACGAGATGTGTGTTTCAACCAATGCTACCATCTGATATTGTTTGCCTGGCCCTGCCAGCCATTTCTCCGACTGTGGTCCCCACTGAGTAATGTTGGAGAAGAACAGGGAATGGTCTGACAGTGTGGGCTTCGTATGGCATTCGTCTTGGTAGGCGGGTGTGGGGTCGGCTCTCGGGCTGCTGGGCTTCCAAGACCATTTCCCTGCGGTCGTGTCGACAGCTTTCGCCGTCTCATCGCCCCCTACCAAGGACTGCGTCTTGGGCGGGGCGGCATCAGGGTTTGCCTTTGGAGAAGGCCCCCCTGGTTCCTGTACCACATGCACGTCGACAGCTTGAGCCGTCTCATCGCTCCCTACCGAGGACAGCGTCTCGGGCGGAGCGGCATCAGGGTCGGCGCGCGCTGCACTCTGCGGCTGCCCTGGGTCCCATGCGACGGGGTCGACGGACTGTGCCGCCTCATCGCCCCCTACCGAGGACAGCGTCTCGAGCAGGGCGGTAGCGTACTGATCTGTGACTGCGAAATCGATGTGGGCGTCCAACTCGGCCAGCTCGTCGAACGGGTCGAGGACTGCGTCCATTGCGTTGATGATAGGTGGGTTGTCGTAGCTCTTGGTCTCTGACGGTAGGCGTCCCGTCTCACCATACCGTCCAGGGTCGGGTTGTAGGCTGCTAAAGAGGCTGCTGCGCTCCAGCCGCGGCAGTCGCAGTGGGCTTGCGCATCTGGCTGAGCATCTTCTGTGCCTTGTCTTCGAGGTCGGGGTCCTTGTTGAGCGCTGGCACAGGCTGTGTGGCATAGCCGCCGTCAGAAGTAGCGCCAGCAGCAGGTGCGGGAGGCTCATCGCTTGGCGCCGCTGGCGAAGAGGGCGCAGTGCCCTCAGCGTCCGCTGCGGCTGTCGCTGGGGGTTCGCCTGCTGCAGCCGAGGCGGCGGGCGGTGGTCCACCTCCCTCTCTGGCGTGTCCATGCTCGTCCGCGCGCTGACGCTTGGAGGCGAAGCGCGTGCGCATGGTGCTGGCCTCTGCGCGGAGCTGGCTGATGCGGCTGGCGGTGTTGCCGAAGAGCTCCGTGACCTTGGCCTTGAGCTCCGTGGCGAAGCGCTGTTGGAGGGATTCCCATGCCTGGCGGTCGCTGTCGTCGATGTCGAGGCCTTGGAGATCGAACGCCGCACCCGCTTCGATAGAGATGTCGCCGTCCTCGAGGAGGCTGGTGAGGTTGAACGTCGGGTTCTGCTGCGACGGCGTAGGAGTAGCTGTGCCGCCCTTGCGAGCGGCTTGGAGTGCATCGAGAGCCGCTTGGGCCTCGGCCTGGGCTTCTGCCAACTTGTAGGCGGCCTCCTCCGACGCCTGCTTGCGCTCTGTGTACCAGCTGAGCGCCTTTTGCTCGCTCTCGAGCAGCCTCTCCAGGTTGTTCTTGCAGCGGCGCTCCGTAGCCTGGGCGCGGCTGTAGATGTCGTTGAGGTCGGCTGGCTTCTGCGGCTGGGGCGGCGGAATCTGCGACTTGATGCCGTCGATGGCAGCCTTGTCGATGTGGGGGGCGATCGCCTGGAGCTCTGCCAGGATGTCCTCGGCGGAGCGAGCCTTGGGGGTGTCGTTCTTGCTGGCCCACCAGTCGTCCTCTTGGTCCTTGCCGTTGCCCTTGCCGCGGCGGCGGCGGGACTTGGGCCATGATGACCACGGTTCCCAACTTCCCTCGGGGCTGGACTGCTGGGTGCACTTGGACTCGGCCTGGGCTGCGGCTGTGACACGGGCCGCCCAAGCTCCTTGAACCGGAGGCGGGGCATCTGTCCACGGCGCCAAGGCTTTGCCACACCAGTAGCACGTCTGCTTGGTCTTCCAGTTCCAGGCGTACGAGCAGGAGTAGCACTTGACGTAGGCGCTGCGCTGCTGCGGGGGCGCCATGGACGAGCTGAGGAACAGAGAAAGCTCACCTGCGGGCAGCAGGAGGCACACGGAGAGTTGAAAGCTGTCGGGCTCAAGAGCCCTGGCACTGGCCGCGGACTAGCGGTATCCACTTGTTCCCCTGCGGAACTAGGCATCTTGAGCCAAATGGCTACGGAAGGGGAGGAGGAGGAGGAGGAGGGGGAGGGGGAGGAGGAGGAGGAGGGGGAGGAGGAGGAGGAGGAGGAGGAGGAGGAGGAGGAGGAGGAGGGGGAGGGGGAGGAGGAGGAGGAGGAGGATGGATGGATGGATGGATGGATGGATGGATGGATGGATGGATGGATGGATGGATGGATGGATGGATGGTCGGGTCGACGGGTGGAGCAGCAGCAGGGGCCCTGGGGAAGGGACGACGTCGGGCGGCCTTTGGGTCACAACTCGGGTCTCTGGCGGCCCTTCGGGGCGATCTGGCCCCCCCCCCTCTTCGGGCGCAGCTGCTGGAAGGCACCCCGAGGCTGGAGATCCGCCGAGAACTGATGAGATGTCCCGAGAACCATGACCATCGCGACGATACCGTCAACGCGTATAGGAAGGGTGCGCGGTAAGGATGCAAGGGCCTTGGGCGCCCATGCCGAGGCTCTTCGAGCGGGGCTGGCCATCGAAAGAGGTTGAGGATGGACCGAAGATTACCGAAGAGGCGAGGAAGCAAGGGTACCCTTGAGAAGCCGATCGTCCTTACTATGTGGGTTGACTGTATAATGAGGACGCGGCCACAAGAAGCCCTCATAAGAAACCCAGCCCTGAAAAGACACATGTTCGAGATGCAAGTGGAGGAAACCCAAAGAACCATGAACGCAGCAGCTCCTTCCACGACCGCTGAAGTCACCGTGCAGCGCGCGGAGCAAAGAAACCCAGGGCACCCTGACCCAAAGCCTTCGGTTTCTTGATGAGCGTCCCCAGCCTGCCCTCCCCTCATGACGAGAATCAGCAAAAGGGGACCCAGAGCCACCTCTCTGAGGATCGCGGCCGGCTGGGTGAGCCCGTTGGCGCTCGCGATCACGTCCCCGGGGCAAAGCCACAGCGGCACGGCGGCGCCGTGGAAGGTCGCGCTCCGCTGCGACTGGCACCACCTCGCCGGGACTAGGGGCAGCTCCTTCTCTTCCTCCTCCTCTTCCCTTCGTATCCCTTCATAACATTTGTCAGTATATCGTATCCTATCGTATGTTATGCAATATTCTCTTTTCTCCTATTATATTATATCATATTCCCGAATAGTATAAGATTGTATATGTTCCCTTCTCTTATACTCTACGACAACATATTATCTTATGGTATCGTACAGTGTCATATGTTATTCCCGTCTCTTATTATATTGTATAGTATGTTATCGTATAGTGTCTTCTCGTATCTTCCATCGTCTATTTCCTTATCTTCTCTTCTCTTCCCTTCTGATATACATATTATCTTATCTGCTCTTCTCTTCTCTTCTCTTCTCTTCCATTGTCGTCTCGTCCTTCCTCTTCTCGTATATGTTCTGTTCTTCCCTTCTCTTCTCTTCTCTCCTCCTCCTCCTCCGCCTCCTCCTCCTCCAGTCCGTTTCCTTATAAGCTTCTCCCTGTCGCACCCCGAGGCCAGTTTTTAGGGCGGGGCCAGGCGTTTCGCCTGAGACTTCCTCACCATGTATGACTCCGAAGCAAAATGGCAACAACTTCACAGATGGAGGGCGGGTCGTATTCAAAATGTGGCACTCGCCTGAGCGCCGCGCACATTCGTTCTAAAACTTTGCAAGAGCTTCAAGGATTGAGGGCGGGTGGTTTTCAAAATGTGGCTCTCGCCTGAGCGCCGCGCACATTCGTTCTGAAACTTTGCAAGAGCTTCAAGGATTGAGGGCGGGTGGTTTTCAAAATGCGGCTCTCGTCCGAGCGCCGCGCACAATCATTCTAAAACTTTGCAGGAGCTTCACGGAGTGAGGGCGGGCCGTTTTCAACATGTAGCTCTCGCCTCAGCGCCGCGCACATTCGTTTAAAACATTGGCAACATATTCACGGAGTGAGGGCGGGTCGTTTTCAAAATGTAGCTCTCGCCTTACCGCCGTGCACATACGTTTCAAACAATTGCATGACTTTCTCGGATTGAGGGCGGTTCTTGTTCAACATGTGGCTCTCGCCTTAGCGCCGCGCACATTCGTTTGCAACATTTGCAAGAGTTTCACGGGTTCCCATGATCAAAATACCAGAAATCGTGTTCAGGAAGGATTCAGGATTATGCGGGTGTAACAGTTATGTTGATGCGCGGTGTTGAAGTCCCAACAATGGCGTTCTTGCACGATTCCAGATCGTCAGGGCGCAGCGGTCAGGTTGATCCATGCTTGGAAGTCCCGAGAACAATTTTGGCATGCTTCAAGGTCTTCAAACGGTTGTCTTCCAACGAGGCAATTCCCTCAGTGGAAATGAACCGTTCTAGGGGCCTATGAAGAGGAAGCTTGGAGGGAGGGTTAATTCCAACATCGTTGGTGACTCTTGGGTTTACACTTGTCCTCCTCCTCCTCATCCTCCTCCTCCTCCTCCTCCTCCTCCTCCTCCTCCTCCTCCTCCCTCTCCTCCTCCCTCTCCTCCTCCCCCTCCTCCTCCTCCTGCCCCCCCCCCGCGCGAGGGGCCTGGCGGCCGCGAGGCCTGGCTCCAAGCTGTACACCGTGATAGTCTCCCGCTCCCGTCCGGCCCGCTCCGCGGAGCCCACGTGGAGGCGGATGCCCCACCTCGGGGAGAGACCGACGGCGACGGCGAGGACCGAAGAGGAGGACCGAAGAGGAGGAGGAGGAGGAGGAGGAGGAGGAGGAGGAGGAGGAGGAGAAGGAGGGATGCGGAGGAGGAGGAGGAGGAGGAGGAGGAGGGAGGAGGAGTGAGGAGGAGGAGGAGGAGGAGGAGGAGGAGGGGTGGCGCGGCGAGACCGACGGCGACGGCGGCGACGAGGAGGGAGAAGGCCCCCTGGCGCGGCGGAGGGGGGCGGTCGGTCCGCTCTCGAGCGCGGACGCTGATCGTCCCGAGTATCGCGACGACGAACTGGTCCTCCTCCTCCTCCTCCTCCTCCTCCTCTCCTCCTCCTGCTCCTCCTCCGCCTGTTTTTGTTGTCCTCCTCCTCTCTCCTGCCTGCTCCTCCTGCTCCTGCTCCTCCTCCTCCTCCTCCTCCTCCTCCTCCTCCTCCTCCTCCTCCTCCTCCTCCTCCTAGCCGCCGCGGGCCCAGAGCACGTCCTGGGCGTCATCAGCACGTCCTCAAGCACTCTTGCAAGCATTGGCGCAGCCGAGGCGAAGATGAATGGCAAGATCGAGCCGAAGTTGTTTGGCAAGTTCGTCACTCCAGTTGATGGGGACGCTGGGGACAATTGCAATGATATCGTTTCATTGGAGTCGCGTGGCGCATGCAGCACGGGGCCGTGGACGGGTGGAAAATTCTGCGTGAAGATGGCAGCGACCGGAATTGGCCGAGGTTATCCAGCGTTTCCCTGTGCAAGATCGTTTCGGTCTGACCTGGGGTCGGGGGCGTGGGGGAGCGGATCCTTCCGCGCACGGCTCCAGCCTCACCACGTCTTTCCCTGGGAAGTGACAGGGTTGGCTTGGCCCGTTGGGGCCTCGTGTGGCTCCTCGTGGCCGGGCCTTGTTGGCTCGGCGTAGTTTGCGCGTCGCCTGGTGCGTGGGTGGTTCTTCCCCACCTCCGCGTTGGGCCTCGCGCGGCCAGGGACCGCAGGAGCGGTTCTTATCATCAGAGCCCTCAGAGCCCTCCTCCTACTCCTTCTCCTGCTCCTGCTCCTGCTCCACCTCCTCCTCCTCCTCCTCCTCCTCCTCCTCCTCCTCCACTCCTTTTCCTTATGAATAACTCCTCCCTGTCGCACCCCGAGGCCAGTCGAAAGGGCGGGCCAGGCGTTTCGCCTGAGACCTCCTCACCATTTATGATCCTGAGGCTTGAAATTTGCAAGAGTTTCGCGGATGGAGGGCGGTCCGCTTTTAAAATGTGGCTCTCACCTTAGCGCCGCGCACTCGTCTGAAACATTTGCAAGGCGGTCCGTCTTCAAAAAATGTGGCTCTCGCCTTAGCGCCGCGCACATTCGTTTTAAACGTTTCAAGAATTTCACGGATGGATGGTGCTTCCTTCTCAAAATTTTGCTCTCGCCTTAGCGCCGCGCATATTCGTCTTTAGGGGGTTTCAAAGATTCTCACGTTTAATGTCGTAGAAATTGTGTTGTGGCACGATGTCAGAACGCCAGGGCGCAATAGTCACGTCGATTCGCAGTGTAGAAGTCCTAGGGATGAGGCTCTGGAACGGTTCAAGATCGTCAAGACTCAACAATAGCGGTGCGTCGCGGCGTTGAAATCCCGCTGATGGCGTTCTGCCACACTTCCAAATGCTCAAACGGTTGTCTTCCAACGGGGCATTTCCCTAAGCGAAAATGAATTAGTGTAGGAGCTTTTGAAGATGGAACTTGGAGAGGGTTTGTTGCAATATCGTTGGTGAATCTTGGGTTTACACCGGTCCTCCTCCTCCTCTTCCGCCTCCTCCTCTTGTTCCTCCACCTCCTCCTATTCTGGGAGGGGGCGATGGCGAGAGGGAGGGTGAGAGTGATGGGGTTGACACGCAAACGGCGTTGCCATGGGCGGGTGCCCAGCGGACACGATGACTTTGCCAATGCCCACCGCCTGACGTGCCCTGGTAAAACGTCTGGCGGGCCCCGCATGATCATCTCGAGCAGCAGCCGTCGTCTCCTGCCAGCAACACGAGATGGGCGAAGCATGTTCACCATGGATCAGGGATGCAAAAGGGAGGCTAGGGATACACACATATGTATGTATCTATGTACATATGCACTCACGTATACAGAAGGGGGGAAATAGTGATAATGAGGGGGGAGATTGAGATAGGGATTAAGTATGACCTCATATTAGCGGGTGCGGAAGCCAAAGCAAGCTGGACACTTGATAGACGACGGCCACGACGACTAAGACGATGATGACGACGACGACGACCATCACGACGACGTTCGACTGCCAGGACGTCTCTGCTTTCCCTCTGACCCCTCCTCCTCCTCCTGCTCCTCCGCATCGTCCTTGTCACCGTCATCCTCATCAGCATAATGATCGTCACCCCATCATCAATCTCATCCTCAACATCGCCTTAACGATCACCATCAGCATCGCCATCAAATTTGACACCATCATCATCATCATCATCATCATCATCATCATCATCATCATTATCATTATCATGGTCATCAACATCATCATCCGCATCATCATGTTCATCATATTCATGATCAACATAATCATCATCATAAACGTCATCATCATCATCATCATCATCATCATAATCAGAAGCATCATCGTCATCATCATCGTCATCCGCATCACCACTGCCACCACCACCATCAGCACCATCATCATCATCATCATCACCATCATCACCATCAGCGTCATCCCAATCATCATCATCGTCATCAGCTTCGCAATCAGAAACAAACTGCCATTCTAACCCGCATTATCATAATCATCATCCTCATCATCATAATCGTCACCATCATCACAAAATTCATCTTCAGCATAAACAACCACATGTTCAGAACCATCATAATCATCATAACCATCCACATCATCCTCATCCTCAGCATCACCACCATCACCGTCACCATCACCATCATCAGCATCACCATCAAAACCATCATCATCATCATCATCATGCTCCTCATCATCAGCAACAACAAGAACAAGAACAAGAACAAGAACAAGAACATCAACATCAACATCAACATCAACATCATAATCCGTCTCCTCGTCCTCCTCATCATCATCATCACTATCATCACCATCATCGTTTTTTACCATCGCATGTCACGCGCCGCCAAAACCCTGGACTGGATGGGCGCGTGTGAGGCAGGATGAATGCATGTTTTCCCATTTGTCACCAAGACGCCTCACGAGGCCTGGTGAGGCCTAGGCCCCAGTGGCCGATGTACACCCCCAAATGGGGATACAGGCTGCTCCCTTCGGGTTTCGCGGGGCCTGTCCCCAACCGGGGTGGTGGGATGGGGGCGCTGAGATACCCCTGACTACGTACGTGGTCATCACCAAACACCCCCAACCACGAAAAATCGACTTCTCATTTTTTTCGCATCCGCAAGGCGCGCCACGTCCAAAGAAACATCGGGGCTTCGAGTGCCAGCTACCCGAACAAAAAGTGCAAGAACACTCTCATGATACCACAGAAAAGCCCAATCATAATCTTTTTAGGGCTGTAGGGCTATAGGGCTACAAGGCTATATGGGCTCTTGGGCGCTATGGGCTATATGGCTATAAAACTACATGGGTTATAGGGCTATAGGGCTATAGGGCGATAGGAATATAGGGCTATAAAGGTATAGGGCTACAAGGCACCGGGCACCCGGGCACCCGGGCACCCAGGCACCCGGGCCTGGCCACCGAATCGGCGGCGAACCCGGGCACCCGGGCACCCGGGCACCCGGGCCCGGCCACCGAATCGGCAGCGAACCCGGGCACCAGGGCACCTGGGCACCCGGGCCCGGCCACCGAATCGGCGGCACACCTCACCTACCCTTAAATCCGCTAGGACCCCTACAGAGGCAAGCTCTGATTGAGGAATGTCACGTCCAATGTGGCAACCTCGCAAGAGAGCAAGCGTCGACCACGTTCGTCCCGAGGGCACCGGCACCAAACCGAAGAATTCTCCCACGCGGAGCCATCACATTTGACATTCAGACCAGGGCAATCTGAAATTCAGACTGGGCCAATCTGAAGTTCAGACTGGGCCAATCTGAATTTCAGACCGGGCCAATCTAAATGATTGTTGTGCTGAAGTCTCAGGCAGAACGCCTCGCCAGGGTCCCCGGGGGGGCAGGCTGACCTTGAGAATCAAGCAGTACGAGTTTCACACAGGGGCAATCTGAACCTCAGATGTGGGGGGCGCTGCCCCCCAATTAGCCTGGCGAAGAACCCAACCATATGCAGTTGTCAGTACCGCAGCTGCGGGTTTCATCTTCAGGGAACGTGTGAGGGGTGTGCCGAGACGGGTGCCACCGGGGCATTCGGCGAAGCTCCCTATGGGGACATGAAACACGCGCGGGGCGCGCCGACATGGGTGGCGGAAACGAATGTGAGGGCCGCCAGTGGGGCCTCCAGTGGAGGTCCCTATGGGTCCCCGAAACATGATGCTGCTGCGGGGGGGGGTACCGGGATGGGTGGCGGAGACGCATGTACGGGCCGCTACTGGGGCCTTCGGTGGAGCTCCCTATGGGGCCACGAAGCGCGTGAGGGGTGCACTGGAATGTGTGGCGGGGACGCATGTGAGCGCCGCCACTGGGGCCTTCGGCGCAGCTCCCTATGGGGCCACGGAACGTGTGAGGGGTGTGCCGAATTGGGTGCGGGTGGTGACGCATGCGGGCGGTGCCACTGGGGCCTTCGGTGAGCTCTATATGGGGCCACGAAACCTGTTGTTGTGAGGGGCGTGCCGGGATGGGTGGCGGGGACGCATGTGAGCGCGGCCGCTGGGGCCTTCGGTGGAGCTCCCTATGGGGCCACGAAACGTGTGAGGGGTGTGCCGAATTGGGTGGGTGTGGGTGGCGCATGTGAGCGCCGCCAATGGGGCCTCCGGTGGATGATGGGGCCACGACACATGTGGGATGTGCCGAAATGGGTGTGCGGGGCGCATGTGCATGTGAGCGCCGCCACTGGGGCCTTCGGTGGAGCTCCCTATGGGGCCACGAAGCGCGTGAAGGGTGTGCAGAAATGGGCGTGCGGGACGCATGCGGGCACACCCACTGAAGCCTTCGGTGGAGCTCCCTATGGGGCCACGAAACGTGTGAGGGGTGTGCCGAATTGGGTGTGCGTGACGCATGCGGGCGGCAGCACTGGGGCCTTCGGTGGGTCCCTATGGGGCCACGAAACGTGTGAGGGGTGTGCCGAATTGGGTGTGGACGCATGGCGGGCACTGGGGCCTTCGGTGGAGCTCCCTATGGGGCCACGAAACGTGTGAGGGGTGTGCCAGAATGGGTGGGTGGACGCATGCGGGCGCAGCACTGGGGCCTTCGGTGGGCTCCCTATGGGGCCACGAAAAGTGTGAGGGGTGTGCCGAATGGGTGGGGGACGCATGCGGGCGCAGCACTGGGGCCTTCGGTGGGGCTCCCTATGGGGCCACGAAACGTGTGAGGGGTGTGCCAGAATGGGGGGTGGAACCGCATGCGGGCGCAGCACTGGGGCCTTCGGTGGAGCTCCCTATGGGGCCACGAAACGTGTGAGGGGTGTGCCGAATGGGGGGTGGAACCGCATGCGGGCGCAGCCACTGGGGCCTTCGGTGGAGCTCCCTATGGGGCCACGAAACGTGTGAGGGGTGTGCCGAATTGGGTGTGCGGACGCATGCGGGCGGCAGCACTGGGGCCTTCGGTGGAGCTCCCTATGGGGCCACGAAACGTGTGAGGGGTGTGCCGAATGGGTGTGCGGGACGCATGCGGGCGGCAGCACTGGGGCCTTCGGTGGGCTCCCTATGGGGCCACGAGCGTGTGAGGGGTGTGCCGAATTGGGTGTGCGCGACGCATGCGGGGCAGCACTGGGGCCTCTCCCTATGGGGCCACGATGTGCCGAATTGGGTGTGCGTGACGTGCGGGCGGCAGCATGGGCCTTCGGTGGGGCTTCCCCGGGCCACGTGATGCCGAATTGGGTGTGCGGACGCATGCGGGCGGCAGCACTGGGGCCTTCGGTGGAGCTCCTATGGGGCCACGAAACGTGTGAGGGGTGTGCCGAATTGGGTGTGCGGGACGCATGCGGGGGCGGCAGCACTGGGGCCTTCGGTGGGGCTCCCTATGGGCCACGAACGTGTGAGGGGTGTGCCGAATTGGGTGTGCGTGGACGCATGCGGGCCGCAGCACTGGGGCCTTCGGTGGGGCTCCCTATGGGGCCACGAAACGTGTGAGGGGTGTGCCGAATTGGGTGTGCGGGACGCATGCGGGCGGCAGCACTGGGGCCTTCGGTGGGGCTCCCTATGGGGCCACGAAACGTGTGAGGGGTGTGCCGAATTGGGTGTGCGGGACGCATGCGGGCGGCAGCACTGGGGCCTTCGGCGGAGCCCCTATGGGGCTACGAAACGCTGTACTGGGCGGGTGAAACGCAAGGAAGAGGGGGAGGAGGGAGGAGGAGGAGGAGGGAGGAGGAGGAGAGGAGAGGAGAGGAGAGGAGAGGAGAGGAGAGGAGAGGAGAGGAGAGGAGAGGAGAGGAGAGGAGAGGAGAGGAGAGGAGAGGAGAGGGACGCGGGGACCGTCTCTTCAAAACGAGGACCCAACACCACAGGATGGTTGGGAAAAATATACGTCATGATTTCCCTCCGCGATCAACCTGGAACAAAGGAATGCACTGCCCCGCCGTGCCCGTGACAGCGCACCGACATGCAAGTCACACGAGCTCGACAATCGCGAGCGCGCGCGTCGGCGCCGAGCGCGCCTACGAAAAGCCCAGACACCAAAATTCATTTGAATAATTTGATCTTGGGGGTGTCTGGTGATCATGAGGTAATGAACAATGGCCCCGGTGGGGATTGGTGTACGTTGAACGATGCTGACCCCCCCAAACATCTTCCCCTTCCTTCATCCTCCCCTCTCTCCTCCCTCCGTGGGGAAACCAACAAGTACCCATACCGCTACTCCCCAGACCTCTCCTGGGGCGCGTTCTGAATAGGAATACGAAGCGAATCCAGCAGTGGCGAGGGCCTCCCAGGAGGCCTCAGAAAAGGGGAAACAAGTCAAGGGTAGCGGCATAGGTACCTTTCCCACCCCTCGAAAAGCATGATCACGGCGAAAAAACCAACCATATGCATTTGTAAATACTGTGTTGTGGCACCGATGGAACTCCCTATGGGGCCACAAATCGCGTGAGTGGTGCGCCAAACTGGGGCGGCGCCGCCATCCTTCGGCTGAGATCCCCATGGGGCCATGAACTGTTAAAAAAGGTGCGCCAAAATGGGGCGGCGCTGCTGTGTGACCCTGCCACTGGGGCCTTCGGTGGAGCTCCCCATGGGGCCACGAACTGTTAAAGGCTGCGCCAAAATGGGGCGGCGCCGCCCTGTGGACCCTGGTACTGGGGCCTTCGGTGGAGCTCCCCAAGGGGCCACGAAGCATGCGAGGGGTGCGCCGAAACGGTGGACATGCGGAGAGCAGGGGCAAGTTTTTTCCTGCGACCACATCTCGGCGAGTGACTCGCGACGACGTTGCGTGCCTGGACAAACAAGCCTCTCTAACATGAAAAACAAGCCAAGACAACCCAGCCTCAGAGAACGACGCACCACCGCCGCCCCCAGCCAAGAGCAGAGGCAGGGATAGGAGGACGGAGGGGGGGGGAGGAGGAGGAGGAGGAGGAGGAGGAGGAGGAGGAGGAGGAGGAGGAGGAGGAGAGGAGGAAGGAGGAAGGAGGAGGAGGAGGAGGAAGAGGAGGACGAGGAGGAGGAGGGAGGAGGAGGAGGAGGAGGAGGGAGGAGAAGAAGGAGAAGGAGGAGAAGGAGAGGAGGAGCGAGGAGGAGAGGGAGAGGAGGAGAAGAGGAGGAGGAGGAGGAGGAGAGGAGGAGGAGGAGGAGGAGGAGGAGGAGGAGGACGGAGAAGGAGGAGGACGGAGGAGGGGGAGGAGGAGAGGCGGGGAAGAACGCCAGGCGCTCTCTCTTCAAACCGGGGGCGCAACACCACGGGATGGCCCGGAGCACCACACAACAAAAAAACCGGAGAGAGGCCGCCGAGAGCCGCCGAGGCCGACGCGGCGCGGGGGCGCCGCGGGGGGCGCCGAAAGCTCCTGCCCGAGAACGCCCGGGGCCCGTTGACCTGGCGGGGACGCCGGCGCCGTGGGCGACGAAGACTGGCGGTGAGCGAGCGAGGAGGAGGAGGAGGAGGAGGAGGAGGAGGAAGGAGGAGGAGGAGGAAGGGGAGGGGGGAAACGAGGAAAAGGCTCTCTAAGAAGGCTCGGAAGTCCCCCAGCCTTCCGGGGAGCTGCCTGGGCCTTCCCCGAAGACACACCGACGAAGCTCTCAGAGGGCGCGAGGGCTTCTGAGAAGTCCCACCGCCTTCTGAGAAGGCCTTCTCCTTCTCACTTCCCCCCTCCTCCTCCTCCTCCTCCTCCTCCTCCTCCTCCTCCTCCTCCTCCTCGCTCGCCGCCGAGAAGAAGGCGACGCGCGGTCCCCTCCGACGCTCACCACTGCTCGAGCAGAGGATCGACTGGCCAGAAGTGCTGTTTACCCAGAGCTTGACTTGCCCTTCGAATGTTTGTGAAAAGTGCGTAGCACGCTCCGCAAATCTACGGGGCACTCTACGCATTTGCATGCTTGTGCGTTCTACGAAAAAAAAAAAACGTTGGGGGTAAAGACGCTCTGTAGCTGATCCCTACGCCCACTGCGCTCGCCAGGCCTGCACGAGCGCCAGCCCGCGTCCCACCCTGCGCCCGTACACGAGACGCCGCCTGATTTTTCCCACCTCCCCGTCTGAGCGACGAAAAAAGACGGGCCTGTGAGATGACAAAAATTTGAGCAGGGGCCAAGCGTCCCGGCAGTCCTGTAGGCCTACCACGAAAGGTTCTTCGAACCCGAGAATGTTCTAAGAACAAAAGCAGTGTTCTGAGAACACAAAGCCCATGCATTGAAACAAGGCCGTCCCAGCCAAAAATGTTCGAAGAACATGTTGCGCAAACCACGAACGGTTTTTAGACATTCTTCGGTGGGTCTATACGCAGGCCGGTGCGCCTCGCCTCGTCTCTGCTGAATGTAGCGACCTTACGCAGCGACTTACGCGGGCCGCCGGAGTGGCACGCTACGTTGGTAACGAGGGCGCTTACGCGCGACCCTGCGCGGGCAAGTTACAGCGGGTTCCCATGCAGAAAAACACCCTGCTTGCCTCCAGGGTGCCCTGGGTTTCCTGGGTTTCGATGGCTTTGCTATGGAAAGCGTGACGTTCCCACACCAAAAACCGATGGACGTCGTGGAGTCTCAGGGTTGGGTTTCTCGTGGGAAATTTCTTGTGGCGTGGCCTCCAGTGTACGCGCGAATGCCGGCACAAACGAACCCGTTCTTCTGCGTCGCCCCCGTGACGACGAGGCGGGCCCGAGCTGGTACGAGCCGCGAGATCGGGCCAGGTCGGACACGGATCGGATCGCCCGCGAGTCGTCCCGAATCGAATCGAAGTCGGATCGCCGCGCGCCCTGGCCGACGCCGGCGAACCGAGCCGCATCGAATCGAATCGAAGCGCGGAACCGCGGCCCCGGCGGGCGAATCGAACCGCATCAATCTGGACCGACGGCGGCGGCCCTGACGAGGCGCGTGGCCACAGTGAATACCACCGCGACCGCAAGTTCACCCTCAAAAGCAAATCAAACACAGGCCGAGGGGGAGATCCTGAGCGCTTACAGAAGGAGCTCGACTACAAAAAACCTTCCACAAGAAACACAAGCCTGAGAACCCAGGACCTTCAGTTGTTTTTGGTGTGGGAACGTCACGCTTTCCATAGCAAAACCATCGAAACCCAAGAAACCCAGGGCACCCTGGAGGCAAGCAGGGTGTTTCTTGGCATGGGTTCCACTGTACCGAGGCGTGTCTCGTGCTTGCGCCGCTCTCGGCCCGCTCTGCACTCCTCCTCCGCAGTGCAGTGCGGAGGACGAGCCAGAGGAAGCCAAGACCAAGACAAACTCGGACCGGGCAAATCGGGGCCCTCTAAGACGAACCCAGGGCGAAGATAACATCGGGTGATCACAAATCGAGAATCCCTGAGATCCGGCGGCTCTGAGAGGATGTCTCGGGCGACGCGGCCTTCCCAGAGCGTTCCGGAACGGTCTGAGAGCGTTCCGGAACGCTCTGGAACGGATTCATCATGATTTGTCCTCGTCCTGGCCTCGCCCGACCCCCTCTCCCCTTCGGTTGGGTAAAGACATACGTACAAGCACAACAGTAAGACACGTAAGTAAAGCCCTTCCCATCCCATTCTGTCAACCTGTATAATAAAGACGCACGACAAGGATACAAGGGCCTTGGAAGGCCATGTCGACGCTTTGCGAGCGGAGGGCGGCCAGCGAAAGCGGCCAAGGATGGGGCGAAGAGGAAGGACGCCAGGGTAAGCTTGGCAAGTCGCAGTCCCCGTCTCCCCCTCCCGCTCCTGACCCTCCCCCCCATCCCTGGGGAAACCAAAAGGTACCGATACCACCGCTACTCCCCAGACCACTCCCAAGGTGCGATCTGACCAGAATTTCGAGGCGAATCCAGCGGTGGCGACGAGGGCCTCCCGGGATGCCCAAAAAGCGGAAAACGAGGCAAGGGTAGCAGTATGGGTACCTATTCCTCCCCTGAACCCTCCTCCTTTCAGAGGGGAGCAGGGCGACTAGGAGGAGGAGGAGGAGGAGGAGGAGGAGGAGGAGGAGGAGGAGGAGGAGGAGGAGGAGGAGGAGGACGAGGTCGAGGAGGGGGAGGAGGAGGAGGGGAGGAGGAGGAGGAGGAGGAGGAGGAGAAGGAGGAGGAGGAGGAGGAGGAAGAGGAGGAGGAGGGGGAGGAGGAGCAGCAGGAGGACGGCGACGGCGACGGCGGCGGCGGCGGCGGCGGCGCCGACCAGCTCCACGGGCGCCGAGAAGCCTGCGACCAGCCTCGAGGGGCAGGCGAAGCGGGGGCGAGCTGGCCAGTCGTCCTTCCCCTGGCCCTCGCGCTCCTGGGCGGAGGGAGGGAGGGGGGGAGGGGAGGGGAGGGGAGGGGAGGGGGGGAGGGAGGGAGGGGGAGAGGGAAGGGAGGGAGGGGAGGGGGCAAGCTAGGTACGCTCGCGTCCTATCTGACATCCTACCCCTCCCTCCCATCCCTTACCATGGCGTAGATCCCCTCTCTACTCGCACAGTTGGATGTCATGCAGGGCAATGATCCCGAAAGGGTACGCGATGCATTGTAGAGCACGGCATGGCATGGCGTAGAAGAGCACCGCAACACGTAATATCAACCTAGCACTGCATTGCATGCCGTGGCAGGGCACGGGAAATGACGCCAGCGCTGCAGCGGGAGCACGAGTCGGAACGAGCGGAAGCGCGGATATGAGGCCAGCGCTGCAGCGGGAGCACGATTCGGAACGAGCGGAAGCACGGAAATGATGCCAGCGCTGCAGCGGGAGCACGATTCGGAACGAGCGGGGCCCGAAAATGAGGCCGGCGCCTCAGCGAGAGCAGCATTTTGGAAACAAATGCAGGCGAAAACCCAACTCTGGGGAATCCTGTGTGTAAAAAAAGAGTACGCGGGGGGGGGCTAATACTTTCAAACCGTCATCAGGGGAAGAGGGAGAGTAGTATTCATATTGAGAAATTGTAGAGGGAGGGAAGGAGGGAGGGAGGGAGGGAGGGAGGGAGGAGGAGGAGGAGGAGGAGGAGGAGGGAGTAGGAGGAGAATGGATCGTTCAGGCTCGAGCGATCGACGGCCCCTCGATCGCTCGATCGCTCCATGCCGGCCGATTTCGGGCGCCTCTGGCGGCGCTCAGCCTCGGCGGCGGCGGCGTCGCTGCCGCGTCGGCACCCCGCCCGGGGGGACCCCGCCACAGCTCCAAGAGGACACTCCGCGGGCGGAGGCCGCCGCAGGTGGCTGGGGAGGCCAGCCCTGCTCGGGGGCCGATCGAACCCAGGATCGAATCAAGCCCCATGAGAGGGAGGAGGCCCGTGTACTTTCTTCTTCTTCTTCTTCTTATTACGACTACTACTACTACTACTACTACTACTACTACTACTACTACTACTACTACTACTACTACTACTACTACTACTACTACTACGACTACGACTACGACTACTACGACTACGACTACGACTAAGACTACGACTACGACTACGACTACGACTACGACTACGACTACGACTACTACTACTACTACTACTACTACTACTACTACTACTACTACTACTACTACTACTACTACTTACTACTACTTACTACTTACTACTTACTACTACTACTACTACTACTACTACTACTACTACTACTACTACTACTACTACTACTACTACTACTACTACTACTACTACTACTACTACTACTACTACTATCACCACTACTACTACTACTACTACTACTACTACTACTATACCTACTACCACTACT